TCTTTCCTCGACCCTTATTAACTCCCACACAACTCAGAATGAAGCCAAGCTTCAAAGTCTCCTCTTGCCCATCCTCCTCCTTGATAGTAGCAACCTTCACACGTTGAGGGAAATCCCTCTTCATGTGATTTCCTTCATAAGTGAATCATGCCAAGTCACCCAATTAGTTACCCTTAGCTTGGTTGTTTGATTTCCTGTTACTTTCTGATGGCTTGTTAGATCATCCCTTAGCCTCCTCTCTCTCCCCATTGCCTTTGGATTTTGGCTTTGGTTTGGAAGAGTCGGTCATCTTGACTTCAAACAGGGCCAAAGACTTGGCCACATCCATGGCCTCAGACAGTTCCTTAACTTTCATTTGTTGGATCTCAAACTTTACCTATCGTTGTAACCCATCAATGAAAACAATAGCCCTTAGTCACCCAAGTTCAAAATCTACAATTGGATCTCCGTGAAGCTCTTGATGTACTCCAAGAGAGAACAATCATGCTTCAACTTTTCTCAAGTCTCGAGATGAGCATTCTTTGGGTAGAAATGTTCATTAAGTTCTCCCATGAACTCATCTCATGTCCGACCGGAAATTACTTGTCTTTTACCTCATAACACTTGCGTTGCCACCATAAATTAGCAATATCAGTAAGATAATTGGAAGCGGTACTTACCTTAGTGGTCTCATCCTCGATGCCACTACCCTAGAAGAACTGCTTCATACTCCAGAAAAAGTTGTCAAAGTCTTGAGCAACTCGACTCCCATTAAACACCTTTGGCTTAGGGATATCGATCCTGGACCTACATGCTTCCCCTAGCACCTCATTGTGCATAACAACCTTGTATACCAACAGCTTACTCCTGAGCTCCTTCATCCCCCTCATCAATTCCGCCCTCATAGCAAAATACATACTCTCGAGACCTCTGGTCCGCTCATCCGGCTTCTCAGACAAATCATTGATTTGCTCATAGTTCCCCATGTCTCCTTCATCGGGCTCCAATAGAAAGACGGGATGACACTATATCCTTTAAACTAGCTCGCTTCCTCACCGTAACTACACGGTCTCAACACTGTTAGCAACAACTGGGACCTCGTTTTAGTTTTATAGAGCCATCTCGTTAGAAAATCGGGCTCTGATACTACTTATCACGCCCTTGGAACTTCAAATTCCTCAAACGTGTGACCTTAGTCACTTGTACAAAAAATGTGGCTAAGTCAGCCTAAAACAATCCAAGCAGAGATGCTTAGATTAGCCAACGAAAACAAAAGAACTTTGAAAGAGAAAACCAACACAAGAACAAGATAAGAGTTTGAGATAATGCTCTATGAATTCTCAAAATGAAGAAGTGAGTACAAACGAGGAGGAGAGGCCTTAATTTATAGTAGAGGTTCCCCTCAATGAATGACTAAAATCTAAGCACATCGACGATCCATATCGAATACAATCCCCTAATCTAAGGAATCATAATTAGAAGATCTCTCTAACTAAAAAACTATACAATGACCTTGATAACTTGCCTTAGAAAGAAGAATACAAAGAATATGGAAAGAATCAAGATGATCCTGCATTAACCAAGTGATTCTTTTTCCATAATTGTGTTTAGCTCTTCATCCCCACAAAATGGGCCAGTCTGAAAGGGTCTAGCAAGGCCCAAAACACCCTCTAGGTTGTCATGGGCTTCTTCTTGCGTTGTGACCTCGGTCATGGACTCGCGGTTCATGACATATACAACAATAATATATTTTTAAGGATGTATTGTCGTAAGAATGGATGTTGGAATAGCCTTCTGAATCATATAAGTGTAATTGTGTATGGTCGTTTGAACAAAAAAAATATGTTTGAAAAATAAAATAATAATTATTTTTAAAAAAATGTATTTTCGTATAATTTTTCAACTAATTAAAAAGTATACCTCTTTAAAGATAGATTAATCAGTGAAAAGTCTTCTAGTGAAATACGATTTGTCAGATTATTTGAATGAATTTTATTTTAACTATATTTTTTAAGTAAATCAAATTTAATAAAATGATTATATTTTAAATTTAGACTCAATCTATAAGTTTTACTAAGATAATTGATTTAATAATTAACTTTGAACGTTGCATGGATGTTTATTATTCCCCATATATAATTGATTTCTGAAAATTTTCAAATGAATTTATGGTAAATATGAGTTTATTTAATCTTTAAGATATTTTTAAATTTATTTAAAAATATATTTTTTAGGTATTCGATCTTACCTAACCTAAAAGGTTGATGATGACTTCAAATTAGATTTTTTTCACAAAATTGAGATTTGTTATGAGCTTAAGGGTCGTTCCGACAATATAATGATTCCACTAAAGATATTAGAGAGTAATGACGTGATCGATTATACATTGTCTTAGTAAGTAAAATTGTAAGTTTGAATTCATATTTAACTTGTAATTCTTTTAAATTTGAACTAATATTTTAAACTTGTGTTTTTAGATTGATCCATTTTTCTTTTGAAATTATGTTTTCTCTTCATAGATTGATTGATTTTTCTATATTATTTTAGCTTGTGTTTTAGAGAATATATTCACCTTTAAATTTTCTAAGGGTAAAGTACACAAATAATCCCTCGATTATAGCATATTGTCTTATTAAGTTCATCGACTATAAAAAGTTATAAATCAGTCCACCAATTATGAAATTTAGCTTTATTAAGTCCCCCAACTATTAAAAGTTACAAAATGATCACTGAACTATTCATTATGTTCAAACTCATTCTTTTCAATTTTTTCAATTGAAAAATTAGCGATTGTCTAAGTTGGACGTTAACATGATGACTGAGATATGATGGGCGTTTGAGATTTTGAGATAAAATTTTATAATATCACGGTCAATATATATGTTAACGTTCAGCTCATAATACCGTCAAATTTTTAACATAAAAAATAAGTTTGGAATATAATGAATATGTTACTTTGTTCCCTGTTCAGTTTAGTGGATGGGTTCAGGCTTGTATAACTCATTCTTGATTTTCTATTGGTCTGAATGACGATCTTGTAGGGTTATTCTCTAGGGCAAAAGGTGTTCGACAGGGTGATCCTTTGTCCCCTTATATCTTCATTTTGATTATAAATGTTTTATCCCAGTTGTTGAATTTGGCAGGGGAGTATGAAGTGTTGGAGTTCCATCACAAATGTAAGCGAATTGGACTCATATCTGTTTCACTGATGATCTTCTTGGTTTCACTAAGGGTCATATTGGGGTTATGTTGGCTGTGAAGAGTAACATATATATTTTTATAGGATGTCGAGTCTTTGTATGAACGTTTCAAAGAGTAAATTGTTTTGCACAAGGATGAGGAGTTTGGATTTGCAGAATATGGCTGAGTGTAATGGTTTTCGTATATGCACACTTCTAGTTCGCTATTTGGAGGTCCCATTGTGTCTAGGAACTTGTCTTACTCTGTCTGTGATGATATATTGAGGAGAATTGTTTAGCTGAATTTGGAACTGACCACCTAAGTGTTTGTCTTTTACAGGGAAGCTGCAACTTATTCAAGTTGTGATTAACATTTAGAATTTTTGGAGTAGAGTGTTCTTATCACCTTCCAAAGTTTCAAAAAATTGAGTAATCGTGTAGTGTTTTTCTTTAGAAAGGCTCGGATGATTCAACTAGGGGAGTACGTGTTAGTTGGAAATGTGTTTGTTTTATCAGATGTGAAGGTGGTTTTGAGATTAAGAGTGTCATTAGGTGAAACAGGGCTTGTATGATGAAATGCTTATGGCTCATTCTTACACAATCGAGTTCCTTTGTGTTGTCGGGGTTAAGGAATATATTTTGAAGGGGTGTTCACTTTGGTAGGCTAAACTGAAAGTAACCATAGTTGGGACTGGAAGAAGATTTTGAGTTTGAGGGATAAATGCTCTTGTAGGTTCGTATGCGAGTTATCAATCGAGGAAAGTTTGGGAGGTTCTTAGGCACAAGCAATATAAGGTTTCTTGATGTAGGGTCATTTAGGGTGGTTTGTCTATCTTCGACACTCATTCATTTCTTGGTTAGTTCTTCTCGACCGTCTGTCAACAAAGGTTCGTATGATCCATTGGAGGGTCATATTGATACTACTTGTGTACTTTGATTATGGTAATGAGAATAAAGACCATCTTTTTGCTGAATGTACTTTTGCTATACAGGTTTGGTATATATTTTTCAAGCTTGTCATATTCATTGGTATAATATTTCGTGTATTTGGGGAGATATGGTGAATTGGGTTCTTGCTCGTGGTAAAGGTAAATCCTTGTAGGGATCATCATACGGGTTGCTTGGTGTTGTTACCTTTAATATATTTGACAATAGAGAAATGATCGATTGTATGGATTCGATCTCGAGGAATTGGGGATATTATTTTACTGATTAAGAATAAAGTTACATTGAGGTTAAGGGGTGTATTTGGGATATTCTTCATTCTTCAGTGCTTGCTGAAGAATATGATTTAGTATATGTCTTATTTTCATTCTTTATTTTGATGTTTATACGCAACTATTCTCTGTAATTTGGTTTGTATAGGGGTTTCTTTTGCATGAATAAAATTCAACATTTATATATATATAAATAATAGTCGGATGACCATTTTGTTAGTCGAGGGATTCAACAAAGCAATACTCTATAGTTAAATGACGATTTTATAACTTTTAATAATCGAGAGACTTAATAAAATAGTCTATATAGTCAAGAACCATTTGTGTACTTAACCCAATTCCTAAATACTAAAATGGGATAAAAAATTTGTACCAAAATAAAAAATTGTTATTTAAGAGTTAAAATTGTACAAATATAATTTCGAAAGGGTTAAAAATTAATATAAAATAACAATAATAATATCAATAGGAGGACGCAGGGAAGAAATCAGACACAATGTTACGTACGGTTTCAATACCAAAAAGATGTGATTAAGCTCGGCTGAGGAAACTTCCTTTTATGCTTTTATTTTCACTTATTTTCTTATATTTTTTAGATTTACTTATCGTAAGCGACTGGTGCCCGTCTCATCCTCGAATATCCCAATTTCTACTATTTTATACGTTTCTCCACTCACTTTACTGGATCTTCAAGAAAAACCCTTCCTTTGTTTTACATTCTTTATCTCTCAACATTTCTTTCTTTTTTGATTCGGAAGTTTCATACATTGTAGTCACTGCCGCTTCGATCTTATTTGGACGGTAGCGAATGAATGAATTTTCGTCGAACTTGTACATCTGGGTCGTGTGTGGGGTGTGAATTCATTTTGTTTGTTTGTTTTCAGCAAAGGGTCGTCTTATTTTTTGTTATATAATACTTTGAATTGCTGTTATTGGGGATCTGGGTTTTTGTTGATTTGAAGATGGGGAGCTCAGACGAGAAAGTTGTTGCTGTGATCATGGTGGGAGGACCCACTAAAGGTATGGCCTTGATCTTTGAAAAAAATATGCTTTGATTAAGTTGTTATGGTGAAAATTTTCGATCTTGAATGTTATGGGTTGCTTGTTTATAATTCAGTTTGGGTTATTTGGGGATTGGATATGGAGTTTGTTTGCAATGGCTGATGTGATTCTGTCCTTGTTTTTTTTTTCATTTGTGTTCACAGTTTGAAGTCTAATTACTCAACCCCTTTCAATTGTTTGCATTTAACGTTTCCATCTAATATGAAGGTTTAACATGTAATTGCTTCGGATCTGGTTTCGAAATTTTGCATATTGCAGGCACTCGGTTTCGGCCCTTGTCGTTGAACGTTGCAAAGCCTTTGTTTCCTTTGGCTGGACAACCTATGGTTCATCACCCGATTTCTGCTTGTAAAAGGGTATAATGTTTGATCTATATACAACAGAGCATAAAATATACACTTTTTATTTATAGTTCTGGTATTTATTAAGATTAATATCTCTGTTGTAGATTCCGAATCTAGCCCAGATCTATCTAGTCGGTTTCTATGAGGAACGTGAGTTTGCATTGTATGTCTCGTCAATCTCTACTGAGTTGCAAGTTCCTGTCAGGTAAATCCTTTCTTTTGTGCTCACTTAGATTTATAAGTTGTCATGAGGGGATTAATGTGCCTTTATGATTGCTTCGTCTTAGTGGTGATCTTTTTTTATGATACTATCAGATACTCAAGGGAAGATAAGCCGCATGGTTCAGCTGGGGGGCTTTACAACTTTAGAGATCTGATCATGGAGGACAATCCGGTTTATATCTTAACCTGTTTCCTTCATGGAGGCATATTTTTCTATCTTTCGTAGAGTGAAATACACAGGCTGCAATCTGCACTGTTAGTCCGTGCATACTTCACTTTGACTTACAAAGATGTGTTGTGTGCTTTTCTTTGTGCAGTCTCATATCTTCTTGCTGAATTGTGATGTTTGCTGCAGCTTTCCACTCCCAGAAATGCTCGGTAATCTTCTTTACAATGTTTGAGCCATGTAATGTATCAATCTTAATTTTCTTTATATAGTTTCTTGCTGCTAACATGCTATGTAGTGTGTTTTGTGTTGCAAAAACTCTGGTGTCAATCTTTTAGGACTGAAGCACAACTACTAGCAGTGGCACTATAAAATTACAGCAACGTTTATTTCTGTTTATATTTTCTTTCTTGAGGATTAATTCTTCTTTTTTCCTGTTTTTGCCTTTGTAGAGGCTCACAAAAGATATGGTGGTATGGGGACTATTCTAGTAATCAAGGTTGGTCGGCAGACTTGCAAGATGTTCACATAATGAAATTTCTGTTATCTTGTGTTCTTTTAATATTTGTATTATTATTATTATTATTATTTTTGTTGTTTGGCCTCATTCTCCGCTCTTTGCAGGTTTCAGCTGAGTCAGCCAGTCAGTTTGGGGAGTTGGTAGCAGATCCAGTGACCAATGAACTGTTACATTATACGGAGAAACCTGAAACTTTTGTATGATCAGAGATTCAACTACAATTCGGAAAATTCTCTATTTATCATTACCTTTCAATGCTTGAATATAATGGATGCTCTGCTGTAATTACTTGCCATGATGCAGGTAAGTGATCGAATCAACTGCGGTGTCTATGTGTTCACACCAGATATTTTTGATGCTATCCAAGGTGTTTCCTCTCAACGGAAAGACAGAGGTTGGTGATAAACGAACTTTAAATAGTGTTTCTAATTTCAAAGTTGCTACAGCTGTGTATTCAGTGGAAACATAACCTGAATCTACTGGCTTCATATTTCTTTTTTCTAGACTATTTAAATTGTTAAAGCCTGCTTTTCCATTTGAAGTTATCCCATTTTTCTACATGATTGCATCATCATCCGATTTTCAATTTTCCTTTGCTCATATCCTTGTTATATGTGAATAACATTAATCTTCATTGTGCTAAGATCTGAATTCATGTTTTGTTATCTCTAGCCAATCTGAGACGTCTTTCCAGCTTTGAAGCCCTCCAGTCTGCTACAAGGTATGGCTGTTCTTTTATTGATTTTACAGGACCACAGCATATTAGGTGCATCCCCATTTGCTTCTCTTTCTTTGTCTTCATGAATCACACAAGTAAATTTTCACTTTTTTTTTATCACTTCATTTCTATCTCCGCTGAAACGAACCTATCTGATGTTATGATGTGGCGTGCCTCATCAATCTTGCTGTTAAAACAATTGCAAATAATAGATCAACGATGTTTAATTTTCTCCAGCATTTTTTTCAACAGCCATCAAAACGTCCACGTGATTTTGACCTTTTTTTTTGGGTTGAGGAGGGGGGGAGAAGAAGCTGTACAAACAATAGTTTACACACACACTGTTTTGGTTATATGTGCTGGAATCTAAATAAACTTAATTGTGCACATTCGGACGGTTTTAACTCAGTTTGTGATTTTTGTTTTGGTTGTGCCCCCCTTTTGCATTCTTTTTACATAGAGGAGTACTCGTCTTTATGTTGGAACATCAACATGTATCCTAATAAGAGCACCTTTTATCAGGAATCCTCCGTCAGATTTTGTAAGGTTGGATCAAGACATCCTTACGCCTTTTGCGGGGAAGAAGCAGTTGTATACATATGAGACCATGGATTTCTGGGAACAAATAAAAACCCCGGGGTAAGCAAGACTGTCCCCACGTTTTTATTCCCCCGCCTTCATTTTGCCCCCTAGATTTTGTATTTTGTTTAACAAAAACATAGAACCAACATTAAAATCAGTAAATCAAACAAAAACCAAGAACCGTGTGAGAATTGCATAACAAGATGAAAAAACATAAGTTCCCCCTTCAACTAAGCCTGATTTTTCCTTGTTCATATCTGCAGAATGTCCTTAAAGTGCTCTGCTCTCTATCTTGCCCAATTTCGGTTCACTTCTCCCAATCTTTTGGCTAGTGGAGATGGTACAAAAAGTGCCACCATTATTGGGGATGTTTATATTCATCCATCAGCAAAAGTACATCCAAGTGCCAAGGTAACATCATTTCATTGCATTTTAATCCTATGCAGGGTTGAACGCTAATGCTGTAGGTGATTTGACTATTATAAAGTTTTCATTTGATTAATGGAATTCAAATAATTTTGTCCCCTCTCGTCGTTGTAGCACCTATGGCCCACTTTAAGTGGGCGATAAATTATTTCCGATACTTGTATACTATTTGCCATTCCTTAAATGCTTTTGACGAATAATAAAATACAAGTCCCAATTAGTAACCACAGCGATTAGAAAGCATTTTCCACCCACGATTGTGTAGCTCCTTAATTTATGAATATTCTCGTTCTTCATTGTTGTCTGCATAGCCCCTGGGATTGATTACTCTGCTGCATGTTAAACAGATCGGTCCCAATGTCTCAATATCCGCTAATGCTCGTATAGGAGCAGGTGTAAGGCTCATCAGTTGTATCATTCTCGATGGTGTTGAAATATTGGTATGCAACCGATTTCAATGTTTTTCAATTTGGCATAGAAAACATTGCTCGAGGTTGCCTTGAATCTGATGCATGAATATTGGTTTTATTTGTTCCTATCGATGACTCATTTTTTCTGTCCTCAGGAAAATGCCGTTGTTTATCACGCAATCGTAGGGTGGAAGTCTTCTATCGGGAAATGGTCCCGTGTTCAGGCAAGTTTTACATGATATTGATGACTGAAATATAGGCTCTTTATTTTTCTGAAGTATCAATGATCGACATCTATGTTTAGCACGTACTCAAAGGTGGGTATGGGATGTTATCATCTATGTTTACGTAGGTTGAATGTTCTTTAGACTGATAGTGAAAGCCAATACCTCACTTCATAAATATCCTTGGGCATAGTGCTAGAAATAGCCTCCAATGTTTACCAAAATAGTCATTTTGTCCCCTATTCTTTTTTTTGGAGCATTTTGGCCCTTATCGTTTCATTTTTGGGTAAAAAAACTCCTATTTTGGAGCATTAACCATTTGTTAACTAACGGTTTCCATACATAGAATGGCCTTTTCCCCCCAAAATGAAATGTTGGGAGTCAAAATGTTCCCAAAAATAGAATAGGGGCCAAAATGGTCGATAAACGTTGGTTGGGGGGGCTAATTTTGACATTATGTCATTTCCTTTCAAGATAGTCTCCTCCCAAATCAGTTGATAAATGAATATTTTCGTCTCTCTCTCTTCTACCTGTCATTTTTGTGCTAAATTCCAATCCGACTCCTTGCAGGCTGAAGGAGACTATAATGCCAAACTCGGAATCACAATTCTTGGTACTTCCTTTTTGTTATTTGCATTTCCTTTTCATAAGATAACCTGTTAGTGACGATACTGAATCCGGTAACCGTGTCTGTTACAGGAGAAGCAGTGGCTGAAGATGAAGTAGTGGTGACCAGTAGCATCGTTCTTCCGAACAAGACACTAACTGTGAGCGTTCAAGATGAAATACTTCTATGATATTTGTACCCATTCCAATCATGGTGTTTCATAAATTTACTCGTATGTAAAAACTTTGAGATGTTGACAACTTGACATTAGAATAAGAGTAATTTTGGTTGTTGGACCGACGTTTTATTTATTTTATTGTTTCAAATATATTAGATATATTACAAGTACTTTACATTTGATAAGCTTGGAAAGTTAAAACAGGTACTCTACAGTTGATAAGCTTGAAGAATTTGGCCAGGGAACGTGAACTGTGATCATCTGATCATCATACTCGAACTCGACAGGCGTCCCGTCAATTTTGCACACCATCGGCCTCTCTGAAGCGTACACCCTCATATTTCCACTTCCTTTCACTCCAATCCTCACCACATTCTCGTCATCCTCCAACACCATTGACAAAATTGCGCCACCTGAACTCAGCATGTTCACCAGTCCAATCGGAGAGAACCGAATGTTGTTTATCAGTAACATTGTCACAGGGAGACTAAGTAGCTCGTAATTGAATGGTTCAAGTGAAACCTCTACTTTGATGATTCATCAGCATTAGCTTCCTACTGGAACATGTATACAGCGAAGATGCTGGCACTGCTTGCCGGAACAGGGTTCTTCCCATTGCTCCACTCGATGTCTTTGGGCTGGCAAAACAGCCTACCATGGCTGAAAACTGAGACACGCTCTCGTTCCGTGGGGATTCACGGCACCATCCTACCCCTTGACAGTTGAACAGTCCTTGCACTCCTGTATACTTTAGCAATGCAAATGAAAGTGAAATTATCATCTTACTTTGTTGAGGTTCCAAATCTTGAGCATTGTTTTCCCGTCATGCAAAGGGTCTTCGAAAAGACAATCCCTTGTCGGGAGAGCATAGTGTTGGCATCTCAAGATGGATCCGTCGGGCAACGCAAGGCTCTTCAGCAACTCGAAGTTGTGTTGTCCGACAGTCGCTCACATAAACCGGTCCACCAGATATAGCTCGAGACGCGGCGTGGAACTCGGCACATCGGTGAGTTGATTGGAACATGTCCCAATCCGGGTGTATGAAATTCCCCATCCACAAGCTGTTGTAGGCGCAATGAACCATGTGGCAGCCCTGAAGCCAATACGTCCTGTTTGGATCTCCTGAGGGGTCAGTGCACCAGAAATCATCACCTACGTAGACAACCACATAACATCTCGAGTTAATCCTAAATCGTATATGGAGAAGTCAATATGTTCCGTCGTGTTTCGGTTTTGAAATACATACCGACACGACCAAGTGAAATGGCCTCTGTTCAGAGGAAGAAGAAGTCATTGCAGTGTTCCATGCTAGCGATAACGCCATTCCCTTTGAAGCCGTCAGAGCATTGTAATACGATTTGGCCAGCTCTACACGTCCGCCGTACTCCTCCCCAGCATCTCGAGCAGCTGAAATACAGCGACAACTCAATAATGTTAGAAGTAAAAGACACTGCTAAATTGCCACGGCTAGCCTGAAATGACGTGTCCGGCAAGGAAGCAACAAAGGTGGACCTAATTTGTTTAACATTTCACATGATGCACGTCATGCCAAGCGAAATACATTGCATTTGACACCATTTATAACTCATTCACCGAAAGGGACACGCGCCAAGACATGGTTCCCGTTCCATTTTAGGCTTAGCGGTGTGTATTTACATAGGTAAATAAAACGAGTTAAATTGAAGTATTGTTATATGTTTTGATTCGATTCGAAAAGTTCGAAATTAAGTTAAATTCAATTTGAAAATTCGTAAATTTAAAATTGTTAAATTTAACTGAAAATTAAAATAAAAAATTGAAATTTAACTCTAGTAAACTCAAAATATTATCAGACAGAACTTAGGATTGGAGAACTTACATGAATCACGTTAACTTTGATGCCATCGATTCCCACGGATTGAAGATGAGAATGAAGTCCTTCGTACATCTCGTCGACCACTTCGGGTGGGACTAATCCCTCCGTTGTTCACAATCTTATCCACCGCTAAATCCTCCATTGTCATCTTCAAACCCTGGGACAATTTAGGGGTAATGACCTTTGCGGGAGGCATTCCTTGGACATTGGGTCTAATCCCACCCCAATATCCACATAAGGCGTGCCACACATATACATGTTCTATGCTCTTAAAGTCTTCTTTAATGTCCCTTACAAAGGCACCCATGCCCTTATCATTAAGTGACCTACTACTCCCATACTCCCTAAACTTGTAGTTCTCTTGATGTTTTACGAGCCTACACGGCATTTGCTCACCAGCACAAGTCCGATTGATGCCTTCTTTATCGCCGATGGAGTCGTCGTCATGGAAAATGGACTGCCACCCATCGTCGATAAGGACCATCCCCGGAGGGCAGGCACCGTCGGAAATACATAACCCATCCAAATTTCAAAATAATGTTTCTACAAAAGTATAATTTAAAATAAAATCCGATTATTTTAAAATGAGATGTTAGAATAAAATAATTAAAAAAAGTTATAATAATTATTTTTTTAAATATTAGAAGTATTTTTTTTAACTTTATGCTTTTTAGTATCTAAATAAACTATTAATTCGGTGCTTGAAATTTGTGGAGAAGAATAAAATCGAAACCATCAACTTAAATAATAGGATAAATTACGTATTTATTATTTAAACTATTAATTTTGGTATTTTTTAATACCTAAACTTTTAACTTTTTCAAAATCATACTTAAATTTTAGTTTTTATTTTATTTTAGTACCCGCCATTAAAAACCTAATGTGTTTAATATTTAAACCATCAATTTTGGTCCATTTTAATACCTAAATTTTCACTCTTTTCAAAACTTAACGTTAAATTTTGAACGATAACATTAAAATGAAACAAAAACTAAAGTTTTTTAGCGGCATGATACTAAAATGAAATAAAAACTAAACTTTAGGTTTGATTTTGAAAAAAATTGAAAGGTAAATACTAAAACGGACCAAAATTGATAGTTTAAGTACTAAAATTTACCCTAAATAATAATGAAAATAAGGACTAAGTAGACGTTATTCCTAAAGAAGAAGAAATCAACTTTGAGATGATTGTCTCCTTGTTTACTCTCTTTATTCCACAAATCTGAATCTTTCCTTACTGCTCTAGACGGTTCCTTATGTGTCTATCGAGTTAGACAATGTTTGTGAACTTATCGTATTAAGTTGAACTTTACCCAACTCAAATCATTAAGTTTTCGAACCGAATTTGAATTCAAATCAACTTGAATCGAGCATTGACTAAATTGAGTTCAAACAACTCACGAGGTGCTTAAATCGCACCCCTACGCTTCCTTATCCCTATTTTAAACAACCATAAAAGCTATGATGATGGAATAAACATTACCAAAGCAACAACATAATATGTCAAGTTTAACCTCATCCATCCACATGCACTTCAATTTCACCAACGGTAGTTCGTGAAATGTCCAACGTGATGGACAAAGAGCCATCTTAAGCCGATCAATCTTAAGCCTTTCAATCTCCTTGTCTCTCTCTTCTAGTTTCTCTTGCAAGATAAAAACCTACACCGCAACTTGCTCGAATTAACAACCTTGCTTAAGCGATTACACCATCTCCCAAATGATAAGACAATCATGGAAGAATACTAGTAGTAATCGGTCTAACTGAATTATAATATGATCGTCAAATGTCCAACGCGACGGCACCATGCCTCCATCCGTAGAATACGTACTTGTGAATCAGTTAACTGATCATCTTGAGGTGGGTACAAAGAGCCACCATTCATGGATGACTTTCACTACCTGTGGTTATATGGCTCTCCTTGAATATGATGTAATATGTGAGTATCATTCTTAGAAAGTGAATCGAGTCAAAAGATGCCATCCGCTTGGCGACAACTATCCAGAGTTATTAAGGGCACAAGGTAAATTCTAGGTGTTCGGCTAGAGGCATAAAAGCACTTGCTCGAGCGAAGCACAATATGCATGTGTTTGTGTGTGTATAAACTTATGATAGACAAACCAACACCGAGTCAATGGCCCGGTTGCATTCTATGATTGACATCACCTAAGCGTTTTGCAATGACCAAGGGTCGAGCAATGGTGATTTCCTTACAAAACTTAGAACAGACAACTACCCTGGATGCTAATTCTCTTTCTTCCTCGAACATGAACATGACCACTACCCCATGCCCTCCTTCAATTAGACAAGAACAGCATTAAAAGATGATGTCACCTTCAATTCAGCAATCTCTTGCTCACCTTCAAACACATTAACAAAGATGATGGTTGCCTAGTCATTTGTAACTCTTACCAGTCTTTACCGTTTTCTTTAAACAGATGCCATGGTTCGTCTCATTTACGGATTAGAGGCTATTGTATTTAATTAGTAACTTTTTCTTTTTCATTTAAAAAAATTTGTTAAAATTTATCTTGACCCCTCAATTTTATATAAAATATTAATTTAACTCTTAAATTTTAGATAAAATATCAATTTAATCCCTGAATTCAGTTAAAATTCCTATCATCGACCGTCACTTATCACACTCACTAGTCATCTTTAGTTTCCGTCACCAATCACCAGTGATCGTCGTTGTCGATGATTACACCCAAAGTTGTCTTTGCCCTTAACCCTTAAATTTTAGATAAAATATCAATTTAATCCATGAATTCAGTTAAAATTCCTATCATCGACCGTCACTTATCACACTCGCTAGTCATCTTTAGTTTCCGTCACCAATCACCAGTGATCGTCGTTGTCGATGATTACACCCAAAGTTGTCTTTGCCCTCATTGTTTTCATGATCATTGGCAAATGTTCAGTGTCTTGGTACATGGAAAACAACACTTACTACCATATATAAATTACAGAACAAGCAAGCAATCTACAAACGAGAACATAAAAAGCTTGTTGGCACCCAAGATCCTAAACATTTGATGCACCCTCTAATTATCAATTATATCAGGTCCAAGTTTTATAACCCTTAAAAGCTCGCGTCCCTGAGTACATACCCTCAAGTCAAGTTAACTACAGTGTACAAACAAAACCTAAATAAGACCCGTTAATAGGTCTATATGACTCATCAGAATGAAATTCAAGGTCTGACTACCAGATCTTTCTGTCTACAAATAACCAGGGGCGAATGCATTTGGGCCCCTTAGGGGCC